ACGATGCAGGAAAGTTTGGGGCAGTGACTAATTCCGGAACAGATGGCCCAATACCAGCCCGATGCCGAATTCGAGATTGTCTCCAACCCCGAGTTCCTTGCCGAGGGAACGGCCGTTCGCGACCTCATGCACCCCGACCGCATGCTCATCGGCAGCTCTACGACTCCTGCTGGCATTCGTGCTGCCAACGCTCTGAAGGGCGTCTACGCTTCCTGGGTTCCCGAGTCCAAGATTCTGACCGTGAACACCTGGTCCAGCGAGCTGACGAAGCTGGTTGCCAACGCTATGCTGGCTCAGCGTATCAGCAGCATCAACAGCATCAGTGCCCTTTGCGAAGAGCTCGGTGCCGATGTCTCGGAGATCAGTCAGGGTATTGGCGCTGACTCTCGCCTGGGCAAGAAGTTCCTCCACGCTGGTGTCGGTTTTGGTGGCTCTTGCTTTGAGAAGGATATCCTCAACTTGACCTACATGGCTCGCACTCTTCACTTGGACACCGTTGCCGACTACTGGATGGGCGTCCTTGATATCAACAAGTACCAGCGTGAGCGCTTCGCTCAGAAGGTCCACCGCGCTCTGAACGGCAACCTCCGCGGCAAGAAGGTCGCCATTCTTGGTTTCGCTTTCAAGGAGAACACCAACGACACCCGCAACAGCATTGCTGTCCACATTATTGCGGAGCTCGCCCACGAGATGCCCAGCGAGATCGCCATCTTCGACCCCGGTTGTGACCCCGTCGAGGTCATGGATGAGGTTCGCCACTCTATCAAGGACCAGCGCGTTCTGGATCGCGTCAAGGTCCGTTCCACGTGGCGCGAGACTGTCCACGGCTCCAGTGCCATGTGCATTCTGACCCCTTGGTACCACTTCCGCTACCCCAAGAAGGCCCAGGCTTCTGCTCGCCGCTCTTCCATGTGGAGCAGCAACGAGGCTTCCAAGGAGGAGGCTGCTACCTTCATCAAGGAGGCGCCCTTGTCTGAGATGGACGTCGTCGAGCTTGAGAAGTTCGTCTCTCGCGGAGCCTCGCACACACCGGTCGACCCCCTCAAGCGCATGAAGCCCGAGAACGCCTGCCCTGAAAACTGCAAGGGCTGCAACTTTGACGCCGCGAGCGAAGACCTCGGCGACCCCATCGACTGGGAGTGGACCGCCTCTGTCATGAAGCGCCCTCGCCTTGTGCTTGACGGACGTAACGTCGTCTCCGGACCCGAGCTTGAGAAGCTGGGCTTCACAGTACAGGGCATCGGCAAGGGACTCGTCATCTGAGCTCTAGCTCGCGTGGAGTCACTGCCTACGGATCAAGAGAAGCGGAGTCGGGAGCGACATGGGAGATGCTTTGCATGTTTACAAGCATTCACGGCCGCACGTACATTAAATGAGTACTATGCTGCACAGTAAGGCGTTCAGGAAAGGGCAACGGGCAATGGGCGGCGTACATTATTATTTCTTCATGTCTAGGGAACCGACTTTTGGATTCCCTAGACCATTCGCTTTCACTTCCCCACGCTGGAGAAACATTTTGGGTCTAGCCACCTTTGTAATTCTGGCCTTTACACAAAAACTGCCGAGAGGTAGAGCAGGAAAGCTTTCGCTGATACTGGGATAAATATACCCAACATACATGTTCTAAAAACTCTGAACACGGACTTTTGAAAGTGATGAAGAACGATTGTGACTAACGACGTACGTGAAGCCATCACCAACCAAGGTAAGCCGTAAAAACATGTTTTTTTTTCGCATCCGTCACCACAGCTCAGTCAGCAACCAACGATGACCAGCTCGACGAGGATCTCCTGTCGGCAATTCTCTCGCCGAGCCACAGCAAATCCACTCTGGCCTGCCGCGGGGTGATTGCGCGTCACGCCCCCGTCGCAGACTGTGCGGGCTTTTGACAAACGGACGGTCCCCTGTTGCGGTGGCCAAGGTGTGGTAATTTATCTGAAGTTGGATGAGGGTGGGGACGTTGCCCAACTCTATTTGAATAAACTCGGGTGTGACAATTTCGCAACGGTGGTCCAGGGTCCCACTCTCGAAGGAACAACAGTGAATACGCGGGATTTTGGGGGATTGGATTCCTGGAAAAATGTTTTGTTCTTCATCCGAAGGGGATGGATGATGGGTTTTAGGGGCGAATTGGGAGGACCGATGGTGAATTGGGGGAATTGAAGGATGGATGACGATGATCTCTTTGGGGTGGTTTGTTTCAATCTGGATGGGTGTATGTGATTGATTAGATTTTTTTTTTTTTAGTGGTGTAGCGGTAGTAAAACGGCGGCTCATTTCGATTTCAATTTGCGCGGTTGTTACAGACGGAGGCTCCTCGACTCCGGTTAGATGCTCCGACGGGTTCCTATTGGCGGGCATGATTCGATCGCAAGATATTGGGTCGGATTGGGGGGCCCATGGTGCCATGTTTGTGGTCCTATTTGGGCCTTTTTTTTTTTCGCGTTTTATCTACATTTTCTCTTTTGTTCATCTGGTCGCTACGTCATTATGCCTGATGTCGCGACTTTTCTTTCTCGTTCCCCCTGGGGTGAGTGCGCCAAGTACAGCGGACCGAAAAAGCTTGGCCTGATTTTAGCCCCTGAGCGAAGGTCCTTTGGCTCCGTTCTGGAGTTTTTTCCTATGGGGGGAGCCACTGGAAAGGGTTTGTATGTAACGGAAATCCACCGTCTCGAACGACTGTGAGACCCTGAAGGGGACGTTTCTGTTGTATGGCGGCGAAGGGTGTGCAGATGAGATCGTGATATGCCGAGGTGTGGATTGTTTGGAGTGAGCGAGGCGGCTCCGCTGGGACCCGGTTGGAGAAAGGGACAGGTCTAGATTCCTGTGCGATGCGCGTCTGGAACTTCTCTACGATGGAGAATGGGAGGAAAAGGGGGTTTGGGGTTGGCCGAGTCGGGACCGGGGTTCACTTTGTGGGAGCCTGGCCGGTCGACGGATGGGCGGAAGGCGGCGTTCGGGGCCGGGTGGTCGGGTGAGGCGCCGGATAACACGGAACGGGAAGGGGAGGCGTGATGACGAGGCCTTTTGGTGTAGTTAGCGGTATCGCACCGGGCTCGGGACAGGAGTGCCGGATGGGAGGTTTGATGGGCGTGAACGCGTATGCTTATTGCACACATTCATATTGACTTTGAGCGCCAATTTTGTATGACAGGAATCTCAGGCGGAGGAGTGCAAGGCGGGGCATTTTGGGGTTGAAACTATCACCAGTCGACGGCCACGTGGACTGTTCAGCCTCGATACGCGCCCAGGATGAGGGATACGGCTCGTTATCACCGTAAACGAAAATCCCTCTCGTGAGTTTTCTTTTCTTTTCAAGCTTTGGTCTCAAATGTCAAGCCTTTACACGATTACGAGCGGCTCGCATCACTCAGATTGTCCTTGGCCAAATCCAACACCCTCGACACACAGCAGACTTTCAAACAGCCTCAAGAAGTCCAAGACAAACTTTCGCTTGATGAAATCTAGAGGGAAAAAAGTCACAGAGTGATCCTTACCCCTACTGTGAAACTCGTACAGTGAGACTTCCTCGACATAGCCGCGGTGTATTCTGGAAGAAAACTCCAAGACTAGAATTCGTTCATCGGAACGTAGTAATCTTCCCAAACGTGTCCGCCATCCCCCAAATCCCAGCCCTCAACCCGCTCAACTGCACAATCTGCGAGTGATCCACGAACAGATTCACATCAACCCCAAACTCCCTCACGTACCAGTTAAACACCGCCGGGTCCGCCGCCTCGAACATGACCTTCTCCATCGGCAGGTCGCGCAGGATTTTCTGAATCACGTCCGTCCGCCACGACGTGACGTTCTCGGTGATGCCCTCGCTCTCGATCATGATGCGCTCGACGCCCATGTCGATGAAGCGCTTGCCGAGGTCGACGACCTTGGACGGGTCGGACTGGCTGCCCATGCTCTCGAGGCCGGCGGATGAAGTGTCGCCGCCGGCGCCGAACTGGATCCCGATCTCGGGCTTGGGGGTGAGGTTGAAGGACTGCACGCGCTCGACTAGGCGCAGCCAGTCGGAGGGCGGGAGGGAGAGGAAGCCCGTGGAGAGCTCGATGACGTCGAAGCCGAGGCGTTTGCAGGTTTCGAGGTAGCGGTCGACGGCGGTTAGGGGGGCGGATTGGGTTAGGACGTGCTCGATCCAACCGCCCTGACGGTTTTGTAAGGTCGAGTTGCCTTGTTTGTGTCCGGCTAGGGGAAGAAGGAGGGGGGGGTGGGATGGTTCGCACCGTGGAGACGTAGACGTCGTGGTGGTGGGCGAGATCGATTAGTTCCTTGAGTTTGTCCTCTGGGAATAGGGAGAAGGAGCCGCCGGCGAATTTGAGGCCATCTACATAGTGACCCATCCTGGGAGTGAGTGTGAGATACTTGCAGGAATGTCATGAGGTGATTCGAGGTTGTACTCACGTCTCGAGAACATCTTCAAGGTGCCGCTTGCCCATGACCGAGTAGTAAGGACCTCGGATCTCCGTCACCGACTTGGTGCGAGGTTTGGGGTCCCGCGGGTTGTGCCTGATGAAGCCGTAGCCGTTGTCATCTTCGAGCATGACCTTTGGTCGCGCGGGGGCTGTGGAGGCTGCCGGGGTCGATGCCATGAAAGACCGGGTAAGCGGGGTGGAGTTCGCTGATGCCGTGCGGAGGGCGGATGCGGCCGGACGGAGGGCCGATCGGCTGGCTAGTCGGGATGCAACGCCGGAGGCCATGATTGACAGTCGGGACTATGGGTTATTTCAATAATATGCTTGCTTTTGAATATTCTGGTGTTTCAATTATAGATAACGGACTTGTTTTTGTCTGTTCAGTCATCTTGCGAATGCTGTCTTAAGTAACTGTCTTCTCGGGGGCACGTAGATCTGAGGTCGACATGACATCACATTCTTGCAGTTAATGTGTCACATGAGAACCACATATTCTCGAAGACCGTTCGGTGACCGAGATGATATACGTAAGTGATCGAGGTGATGGTGCGAGCCCGAAGGATTTCTTGACATAAGCTACATCAAGAACCTGCCAGTGACCTGATCCATGGCGTCACAAATATGAACCTTCTTTCCGCCAGCTTGCATGGTGTGAATTGCCTCCAGAAGCAATCTGATCTTCTTGATGTAAACGCCCCAAGGTTCTGCCTCTCGCAACGTTTTGATGACCCAGTCACGGTGTATGGGGTCCGTGGTAGACAAGCCGGCTAAGAACATCGAGGAAGGCAGGATGGACGGCGGCGAGTTGGCTCGCGATGGGTCGTGTTGGATCCTGAGTTGATGCCGGAGGATGTTGGATATTGATTGATTTACGTCAAAGATTGGCATCGGCTACACCACGTGAGAACGGACTCATCCAGAGTAACATAGGAATTGACTTACGTAGACTTGTGAGAGGTATAAAATGGCCGAGTGCAGAGCCGATGAAATTATGTGATAGTTATACTCGGCTGTACCAAGAACCTCATTCGTTGTGATGCCCGAGGCTTGGGTTCCCGTCGACTGAAGCATACCACGTTCGCAGCGCTCAAGCTCCCTCCGAATATCCTCGTAGAGTAATTTGATCTCCGCAGTTCTTACAGGCGCGCTACTGGCAAACTCTGCCTCTAGCTGATCGTGAAGTCTAGCGTCAATTTCACCGATTCTGTAGCGGAGAATATCTGCTCGAAGTAGACTATAAGACGGAGTAGAGACGACGGAGGTGTTAGAAGCGAAAAGGAACGACAAAGCAGGTATTCTTTCGAGAGCTCTTACAAGCTTACCACGTCCCAATCGAAAGCATGTACCGCGCGCGTCTAGCAGAGCGAGACGAAGGACTATTCGTCTGACTAGACTATTCGGGTCAGCTAGCGCCCTTTCGCATTCTTTGGTCGATACGATCTCGACGACCTCCGTCATGAGATCGAGGAGAGCGTCGAGACTGCTACCCATGACATGAAGCTGTTTGATCCGGATGAAGAGGGCCGAGAGAAGACTGGCAATCTCTTTCGTGTGAGTCTCTCTGTATTGACAAGAGGTTTCCTCGGCCAGCTGGTTGAATCTGATAGCTCCATCGCAATAAGTCGGGTCATTGATTGAGAGGTGGGAGGCCGAGAAGGCGAGTATAGCGTAGAGAAGAGGTGGAATTTTCAGCGACTGCGTGAACGCCGAGACGAACAGATTGCTAGACTCTTTTGCGCGGTCGTCTACTTTGGAGTAGCCCTTGATGACCTCTAAGTAATGTTGGATTAAGTGGCGGTTGTCGTCGTTGATGACGTCCGACACCTCGCCGTGGCTCTGAACAGAGGGCTCAGCAAGAAGAGCGCCGGGCTTGTCCCCCGCAGACTGCCAAACAGCAGCGGAGTCGACACCCGTGAAATCTGCCAAACCCGCAAAAGCTGGGAAAGGGAAGAAGTCATCGAAGCTCTCGCCTGCAAGATCGAAACCGAAACAATCGGCCTCGAAGCTGAGGTCCAACCCAAGAGTGGTGGAATGACTGTTCGGAGTGCTAAGAGACTGACGAGATACACGGTCAACGTCTTCTGAAGGTTGGTCTCGCGTCATCGTCGATGTCAGTTGTCTGAACACGGGTGTATTGTTCTCGTTGTTCGCTTCCGTTACACCTGGCGAGGGATCAACTGAGGACAAAGGTCCGTTCTCTGCGGTCCGCGATTTCTGCCGACGTTGATCAATCGTCCGCCTTCGTTTTGGTGGTGGATTTAAATTATCGTCATTTTCTGGGGCACGCCAATGACATTGAAACCCCAGCCTTTCGCAATTGGAGCATGTCGAAGGCTTATCTGCTTCTGTGTATAATGTTGAACCTCCGCCCTTAGTACAGCGAATTCTGCGTGTCTTGCACGTGTAACATGCTACGCTGGTGTCAGCTAATGTCGTGGACTTGTCTTTCAAGAGAACCTACCGGCGTGTGGGCTTTTCCTCACGATGGTCATTGTTGTGTAGTGAAACCGACAAGTCACTAGCTATGAAAGAGAACAACTATCATGTTTTTTTACGGCCCATAGTCCTCAAGATATAGATGCAACGGTGTTTTGTGGCATTGGTCAACTTGTTTCTCCTATGTCGCTTGTTATCGGCTGTCAAAAGGAGAATCAAGTGTGACTGGCAATCAGGGAGCGAACACGGCCGGGATTGATAACTCCATGACCCCTGCCGCCGCATGCGCTATGCCTCTTATGCCTGTATGTGGCTAATCAGCGGGGTCATCCTTGGTGATACGTCTGCGAGTAGCCGGTCCTCATGACACTCGGGGAGTCTATAATCTATCTAGAAAGTTTTGATGGACAACCGACTGTAAATCGGACTGCCAACGGTTCGTTGTTCGTTTTTCTTGCTACTTTGACTTCGATTGAGATTCGTAAGTGCGTCATCATCTCTACCACGGCGTGTGCTGTGCTTTGCTGAGCAAGCAGACAATCTCAATGAGTAGTGATTACTATGAACAGATAATGTATTACGTGTAACCAGGCGAATATCTAAATAATATCGAGAGAACAACGACATTTGGGGAAGTGGTAGGCGCAACGAGAGGAATCATCGTAAGGGCGCGGCAGAAGATGGTGGCAAAGGGCTTATAATAGGACTAACAACGGTCGAATCCTCCTTCAGTACAGATAGCAAAGATCGGGGAACCCATCGTGTAACATCACACGGCATCATGAATTGAATAATTGATTACCGGTACTCCCAACCCACTTCCCCTGTGCCACTCCAACTGCTCTAAGTCCGTCTTATCCGCAAAATTAGGCCTTGATGTAGGCAAGATACTGGAGTTCTGTTCTTCAGTACATTTCTGACGCCGTGAGTTTTCACGTCTGTACCAGAAAGTCTGGCAGATCGACACTAAAATCATAACAGCGCAGCAAACTACTAAGTCCTTCAGATGAGCGTGAGTCGACGAAAAGCGCAGGCCACTTACTCAACATTCCGCAAGCCATATTGTATGCCGGGGCCTCGCTCTCCAAAAAGAATTCTATCGCTGCATCAGCTGGTCAGTATTCTTCTTTTTCAACCTTCAATGCTTATGCACGAGGTCCTGCGATCAGACCAGCAGCCTAACCCGCAAACACAACTGCCGATGCAGTCGCCTTCCTTGTATTGGATGCGTAGGTTGATGTTATGAGACCCGCGTTGAGTGCAAACGACGTGCTGTGTCATCATTTGGGTTGAGCTGAGCGTCATCTTCGAAGCACGGGTCAGACTTACGTATAAGTGACATAGCATGGTCGAGGCCTTCCTAGAAGCCGTTGTAGAAACCTGGGCAACACTATGTCATTTTTTGATTGTCCAATTCGGTGTCGCGCACCATGATGTGCTTCCGACTGTTATTTGTCTCCGGTTCCTGCTGGTGCCCTAGTTCTAGTCCTGTTTATTTCTCCTTCTACGTTGCTGATCTGGTGTGCTTCGCAGCTCCATTATTGGCAACCGTTGGGCTATTTCAGCAGCTTTTGAATTAGATTCGGAATATCAGACTATTCTTTCGCCAAGTCCTGGCGGTACACATCTCGACATTTAAACACTTTGCGTACGTGGCCGCGTTCCTGGCCTTGTTGAGCCTATTGACCACGCAGACATGCTCAGTATCTTCAGCGCTCCTCTCGGGATCCACGCGCCATTTGAGTCAAGAACCCAGTTCCCGCTTTTGAAGTATCATGTCACTGTTAGATGGGTACAGCAATGTAGTCAACATATCATCAGCCTTGCCAACTTAATCGAACTCTCCCTGCAGCCACGGCCACGCCTGCTGACTTCGGGTGGGAATATTGCGATAGATGACTCGAAATTCTCTCTTGTTCGAGCGGCGAGATTGAAAGTCCAGCGTGTCTTTTCTCGGTCATTCCCCATGTTGCTATTGGCTCCTGAGAAGTCACTCTATGAAAGTATAGAACCAAAAGACGGTTGATGATTACCTTTAGTCAGGTAGCAAGCCTTTTTGTCATACACTGCGAAGAAGTTTGATTTTTTGTGTCCCAAAGAAATCGCCGAGTGAATAAACATCTTGCAGGCACCACATCTCTCTCGAACTTGCATTCATTTTTCCTGGAGTCAAGGGGAAAAACATTTCTGACCTTCCTGCGTGAAAACTGAAATGAGCCTTTTCTGCATGATTTACCAAGTTTCGAAGCGCAGAAGTCAGTCGACTACGGCTCAACAGGGACTGCCTCTATCATTGGCATTCGTCGAATTATGCATCACTTGCACTACGAGGTGCAAATCGGGTGAAGCCTAGGTAACACCAGCAGGCTTGAGGCTTGAAGTATCTGAAACTGATATTTGTGTCACTAGAACCATATTCATCAATGTCTTCTCATACTCTCTAGCAGACAAACCATACAACTTCCAGAGAGTTTTACTCATATTTTCGGATCTACCAGTGCATTGACGTCCGACGGTAAGATCGCCGCGGATGATAACTGCGCCAATTGCGCGATTCCGCAAGGTACCGTTCCCCGTTTGGTACACACTTGACGCATGCCTGCTTCATCGTCGATATCTTTGGGGCTGAGTACTTCTGCGTGCACCAGAAGCAGACTGATGTTTCTGGAAAAGACCAACACATTTTGTTTCTCAGTCCAACGCACGATTGTATAACGTTTTGTCTCCGGAATACGTTAAAGCTATATTTGAAGGGAACTTCGGGCCCTTTGTGGCAACGCCCCAAGCCCTTGCGAGGGTCCTTGGAGGGCTTGACCGACCTTACGGTCCCTTTTGTTGATTCGGCGGACGGCCTTTTCGTCGGCCTTTGCGTCGCACTTTTCGAAGAGGGCATGCGAACGCGCGGTGTGTAATACAACATGAAATGTGGAGTTGGCCCTGTAAGCGGTCAGAATACAAATGGGACACAGGCTCTCTTAGCCGTCTCACAAGCTTAACTTACATGCAGGGCTGCGTAGACTTGCTGCAATACGTGTTCTCTGCACGAAACGTTTGATCTTCTCTTCTGTTACCGGTTGATTTCTGACAACAAAAGCTGTTTCTTTGCCATCCAAATCCCGTCGCCGCTTCTGGATCTGCAGAATCTTTCTCATCTCGTCTCTTTTCACCTTCTTTTCAATATGCCACTTTCCTAATTGACGCTTATACTGTCTTTGACTGCATGCGGATGTGAGTTTCATCGACATCTATCTGATTAAAGGGAGAGTGTTGACTTACGTAGCGACGAAGCCATACTCGCCCTCCATGATACTCATCAACTCAGACAACTTCTTGCCCTCTATCGAGTAGAGATATTCGATTGTGTCACGCCTGTCATCCCAATCGCTGGCTGATAGTGGTCGCTTCTTTGTTATGTGGGGTATTGGCATAGCCTGGGTTTGAGCGACCGTAAATCCCTGTTGTGACATATTGGCGTTGGCAGCAGTATTGTGAGATCCTAAATGGTTGTCGAGTAGACCTTGCCACTCCGGTAAACTCTGGGCTGCGGTTTCCTGTGGCGTGAAACGACCCACATAGTCCTGCTGGAGCGAGATCTGATGGCCGAAGTCAAAGTCATTTATATTCGTTTGCGCCCCGATGAAGGACATGTCAGGCGTGAAGGAGGTGGGTATTTGTGATGCGGCAGTGCTAAAATCGGTGTTGTCACAGTTGAGCCCTTCCTGCCAAGTGTTGTAGAGGCCTGAAAGCAAGACATTGTTGTGGAATTCGTCGAGTTCGAGGTCGAATATCGGGTCAGTGATGTCATTGGGAGACATGGTGGCCGTGAAGAAACACAGAAGCAGCGCAACAACATTCCTATCTCGCAGTCCGGGATGTGAGCTCTATTTATCACGGCTCTCTTGGTTCCTCAGGTTGAGGATATCGACAAGCAAAAGTCTCCTGCATAGCTTGCCAAGGGCCTCCTGCATGGCTTCAAGGGTGCCAAAAGTCTCCCGCAGCTATGCAGGGGACTTTTGGGGCTGGACGGGAATCTCTGCGACCTGATTGGACCAGGAAGCCAACAGGTGCCGAACGGATACATCGCACCTTAATTCTCGATTTTCCGCGATTTAGGTGAGACTGAAATTTGATTGAAGCACGCATTCAGAACAACAGAATACTTATCTTTAGCGCTGCCGTTGAAGGACTTCTAAAGTTGTGAGCTGTGTTCGGTTGCATCATCGGGGTTCGGGATACAGAACACAAGTGAGAAGCAAGCTTTGATTCGCCGAGAACGCATTCCAGAACATCGATCAAGAAATTCATATGAGCGAGCACCGTAATCTTCTCCATCGCGCAAAGGGGCTGCGTCGCGGCACACATACTTGGCGAGACTTGCCGCGTCTGAGTGGATAGACGTCAGAGTATGCGACGATTCATTGAGCCGCAAAAGTCTGAAAGCGTGCGACCTGTGTATCGTTGACTGCATCTCAGCAGGATCGCGTAGCTGGACACAGCCCCATCACTGGATTGCTAGCTTCCAATAGTAGCTGCAGCTGCAGAGAATCCGCCATAGAGGTGGTCACGTCAAGATACAAACATTGCGAGACCAGTGATAACGTTCCTCGAGAGGTGATTGAGCACGTTGGTTTCTAAGTTTGGTCGTTTACTACACTGTTTTTGGAAAC